AAGGAGAGATCTCTAGGAACGACTAAGACAAATACAAAGTACTATGCATGAAGCTTGGTTGGTCATAGGGGATTTCTATAATGTGTTTTCTGTAAATGATCGAATCAATCGGCAACCTATGCATCAAGTTGAACTTGTGGACTTTCAAAATGCATAACTGACACTGGCTTGGGACAATTGAACAGAAAAGGCTGCCAATGGTCATGGTGTTATAAAAGGAATGCAGAGAGCAGAATTTATAGTAATATTGACTGGGCTTTTGGGAATGCTTCTTGGCTTAAACATTATAGTAGTCTAGAAGCTATTTTTGAAAAGCCTGGAGTTTCCGATCACTCTCCTATTATCATTAGTACAGACGTAGTCAAATCTTACCTGCCAAAATCTTTTAGACTATATAATTTGTTATTAAATCACAAGGAGTTTGAGGGAGCTGTTCATGAAGTGTGGAGTCAACATGTACAAGGGCATACCACGTACTCAATTTGGTTGAAGTTGTAGAGGCTAAAGGACAAGACACAACAGGTGAACAAGGAGATATCTTCGCTGGAGAGGAGGATTGATGATCTCAGGATACAATTGCAGAATACTCAAGGACAACTTGATAAAGATACATTCAATATCCAGTTAATATCTAAAGAAAAGGAATTGCTCGTGCAAATTGAAAAGTGGGAAGGGATAAATGAGCAGGTGCTTAGACAGAGATCTAGAGCAATGTGGATAAAAGCTGGAGATCAGAATACTAAATTCTTCCATGCTAACTTGAATGCTAGACAATCTAAGAGCAGAATTGCATCTATCTGTAATGACCAAGGGCTTAGAGTGACTAAACCATCACTAATAGAACAAGAATGTAGAGGTTTTTTCAAATCGCTTCTGGGAACTTTTATTGCTGAACTTTCTTGCATTAACATTGACATAGCTAGTAATGGATATTGCCTCACTAATGAGTAGTAACAAATACTTAATAAGCCAGTAACAGAGGAGGACATCGAACATGCTCTCAATGATTTGCCAAATGACAAGGCACCAGGTATAAATGGATTTCTAGCTGAATTCTTCAAGACATACTGGAGTGTTATTGGAAGAGAAATCAAACAAGCTATATAAGAGTTTTTCACAAATGGAAATATCTTGAGAAGTGTCAAATCTACTACATTAACATTGGTTCCTAAGGTTACTAGCCCCATATATGTCAAAGAATATCGACTTATAGCATGTTGTTTCACTCTCTATAAACTCATTTCAAAGATTATTACAACAAAATTGAAGACTGTGGTGGAATCTTTTGTTGGACCTCAATCAGCATTTATTGAAGGCGGAAATATTTTGGATAATGTTATCATTGCACATGAGCTGGTCAAGGGGTATACTCAAAAAGGGGTCTCGCCAAGATATTGCATCAAAGTGGATATACGAAAAGCATATGATTCAGTTGAATGACCTTTCTTAAAGATGATAGTACTGGAGTTTGAAATGCATGTGAAGTTTGTTCAGTTGATAATGGAGTGTATGACCACTATCAGCTACTCCTTGCTATTGAATGAAGGCCTAACTACTAAATTCCAAGCCAAGAAGGGACTAAGGCAAAAAGACTCGATGTCTCCTTACTTGTTTGTGTTGGTGATGGAATACCTCAATAGGTCCTTGAAGAAACTGAAGTACAATCTAGATTTTAACTATCATCCAAGATGCTCAAGAAAGAATATAACCCATATATGTTTTGCTGACGACTTGATTCTATGTTCTAGAGCAGACAAGATCTCTATAAACTTGCTACTGGAAAGTTTTTATCACTTCTCTATGGCCTTATGCCTTAAAGCTAATATGGAGAAGAGTGCTTTGTACATTACTGGAGTCCCTAGGGAGTTCAAAGAGATGATTCTAGATAAAATGCAATTCACACTAGGGGAGCTGCCATTTAAGTACCTTGGAGTACCCTTGTCTTGTCTATCTAATAATGTATGTCATTGATTGAAAAGATTACTACAAGGCTCAACTGTTGGACTACTAGATTTCTCTCATATAGTGGTAGACTTCAGTTGATTAAAATTGGGGTATTTGAAATGCAAACATACTGGGCGCAGGTGTTCTTATTGCCAAAGAAGATCACTAAATTAATTGTTACTACCTGTAGAACTTTTCTGTGGACAGGGAGCAATGAACCATCTAGGAGAGTCCTTATAGATTGGGATAAGATTTGTATGCCACTGTCAGCTAGAGGACTGAATGTTATTGATATATATTCATGGAATAAAGCTGCATTATGTAAGCTTTTATGAGCTATAAATGCAAAGGACACCGTGTGGATTTAATGGATCCATAGCTTCTACATCAAGGATCAGAATTTTGTGACTATGAGCACTCCTAAGCAGGCTTGTTGGCTTGTTAGAAAAATATTTGACACTAGGGACTGGTTCATCCAAAAGGACTCCTCTGCTGCTTTGAACAATTATTATAAGCAGGGTAAGTTCAGCATCAAGCATCTATATGTTGCACGAACCTCAATACTAGAAGAATCCCCGGTAAAGACTTACTATCGGATCAAAAGCATTGTCAAGGCACAAATTCATACTTTGGCTGGCTTTGCATCGAAGGTAGCCAGGGTAGATCGACTAAGGAAATGGGAGATATCAGTAACAAGTGATTGTGTGCTATGTGGGAAGAATACTGAGGAGACACTGGAGCATCTTATGTTTGAATGTGATTACTCCAGAACTATTTGGGCTACATTGCTATATTGGATAGGAAAGACACTATATTGGGAGCTGGGATGAGGCGATTGAATGAGTAAAGAAGAGGACTGCCAGCAGAGTTCAAGCTAATATACTAGTCTTTCTGTTTGCAACTGTGATCTATCATACCTGGGTAGAGAGAAACCAACAGAGATTTCAAGGAAAGATAATTTCATGCACTCAGAGGATTAAAGACATTGCATTGGAATTACACATTAGAGGGTAGAATGAATTCAAATGGCAAAAAGACTTAGAAAGACTAAATAACTTCCATGTCTAGTTTTGAATCGATTGTAAATATAGATAGCAAGGCTGGGTGTTATTGTTAGCTGAGAAAATATTTTGGTTTTATCTTTGGGTCTAGCTCTAGTGTCCAAATGAGCTAGCNAACTATTAAAAGTAAGAGGAATGTACTTAATTATAGATATTTTCTAAAATTAATAAATATTGATCAAATATAGCTAGTTCAATAAATAAAAAATACTACCCTATAAAAGTCCTTTTATGCTTTATTTTGATTTTTGATGACTTATACAGGAATATATGATGAAAAGTATTGTTATTTTTATCTAATACTGAAAACAAGCAACAATTAATACTATGATATAGCTAATTTTGCTCTATTTTTTAATTTCATTCACTGTTAGTGCTCTTCTTGTGAAAATAAATTTATGTAACTTAGGAGTTTTATTAACTTAAAAAAATAATATTACTTACATGAAGATTTTGAAAAAGAATTGACTTAGATTCTTTTTCTAATTAGTTAATTCAAAGATTTTTTTTTGTTTTTGCATTGGGGATTTGTTTTGTTAAAATAATATAGAAAACACAGATAATATTTTAACTTCATTCCTACTCGAAAAATAATTTTTATCTTAATTGATTTTAGAATAAAATTTCAAATTACATTCAATAATTAAAAAATATATATAATTAAGTACATTCCTCTTACTTTTAATAGTTACAGTCTATAGAAATTTTTCCTTATAAGAATAAGATCCCTATAAGAAGAATGAATGTCTAAGCATATTTTATAATGAATGTATAAACATATTTTATATGGAAATTACCATGAGAAATTATAAGGAGACAAAAAGGTCTTTGTATATGTAAAATCGGAGGGTTCAATTTTCCGTCAATATGATGACTCGTAAGCATATTTCACAAGGTTCGAGACTAGGGTCGAGGCTCACCCTCGAGGGCTACCGACGCTCGACCTCGGGGCAATATAGACCAACGACTATTATGGAAAGTTGGGGAGTTCCCAAGGCGCACAACTAGGGCTGATGAAGTCTAGTAAGCTAAGTTCAGACCCGAATCATGATGTCAACTAGCTGTCACATCCCCATATCTTTGTAATTAATGCACTTGTACTATGTTGGAATTCCTCCTCTTATATAAAGGGGATCTTTGTTATTTTGGAGGGATCTGTTGCTCCATACTAAATATACAAGAACATTCTCTCTGCTCTCTAACACTTTCTTCTGATCTTATTACTTCATTTATTGCTCATATTTATTGTGTTCTACTTATTGTTCGTCATTTATTGCGTATTATTGGCCATAAAGAGCCGCATTTGATCTATTTATAACTGTTATTCGCCATCGACCACCTTCGACAGCTCCCAGCCGAGCTTCAGACTCGACCCCGAGGCCCTCGAATAGGCAAGCTCGAGGCCCCGATTGACAACGATTCGGTTTAATTAACACCTCATTCTTAAGCTCTTATCTTGTTTCTAAGTCTTTCATGTAGCATCAACTGCCTAACAACTAGCAAGAAAATAGATCACATATTTTTAGAACTACTAAATCAAATTTAATTGTTAACATTATTTTCACGGTAAACAGTATGGCGCCCACTGTGGGGCTAAAAATAATAGTGATTATTTTCTTGTTGGTTTAACTACATAACGCAAGTTATCTTTCACACTTCTTCTTGCCCAAGACCTTTGATTTCAGGTCAAAATGTATGACTCAGTAAACAACAATCTTGAGAACCACGGAGAAAATGGTGTAGATGTTCCAGGTGCTGGTGTGCCACCACGAAACCCCGAGAATACACCGGAGCCGATTCCCAAGGATACAACCTCGTGTGATGTCCGAGACGTTATCACATATCCTCATATTAACCAGGTAGCACGCCGAGAAACTCAGCGGAAATCTCGGAAACACCCAACCTAGGAAAAAAGAGAGATTCCTCGGCATGTCATTCATATGATTATTAGGGGGAACCGACATTCCCCAAGGACCCGTGATCAAGCGGACAAAAATGTCCACTACAATCGAGGGGCCGATCCGAGACCGCATGACCGAAAACACCCTCGCGTTCAGTGAGAAGGACCTCGAGACCTTGACAGAACCACACAATGACGCACTAGTAATTTCATTCCTTTTAAGCAACGTTCAAATTAAACGTGTACTCATAAATCCAGGCAGCTCGGCCAACGTAATCAGGTCAAAGGTAGTGGAACAACTCGAGTTGCTCAACCAAGTCGTACCCGCCTCCCGGGTCCTCCACGGCTTCAATATGGCCGGCGAAATAACGAAGGGAGAGATCGTCCTCCCAGTTGATGTGTCCAGTACAGTTCAGAATACCAAGTTCCATGTCATCATTACTGACATGAGGTACAACACATTGCTTGGAAGGCCGTGGATACACAGCATGAGGGTGGTGCCGTCAACTCTGCACCAGATGATAAAATTTCCAACGAAAGATGGCATAACAACCATATATGGTGAACAACATGCAGAAAAAGAAATGTTCGCAGTTTACTAGGAGGCACCAAGCCACATACACTCCGCCTCGGGTGAGTCTAGGAGCATACAAACCCCTGAGGACGATAAAGAAGATTTCCTCGCCCCTCGAACTTTTGTCGCCCCCGAAGAGTCGAATGTAACAAAATCGATAATTGAAGAACTGGAGCAAGCTATTTTGACTGAGCATCTCTCAGATCGAAAGGTATACCTGGGAACGTGTGACGACCCGGCCAGTCGTCTCATGAGTTAACGCTCCGTTTTCCCCATTTTTTCTTCTTATTGCTTTGTCTATCGGTTCTATGAGTTATCGGGTTGGTTGGCTCGGTTTTGGAAAGGTTTTGAGAAGGTTTGAGACACTTAGTCTCTTTTTGAGGAAGCTTAAGTTGGAAACGTCAACAGAATGTTGACTTATGAGTTAGAGAGCTCGGATGTGAGTTCTGATGGTTCGGAGAGCTTTGGGAGGTGATTTGAGACTTAGGAGCGTTATCGGAATGTGTTTGGAGGTCCGGAGTAGATTTAGGCTTGAATTGCGAAATTGGATTTTTGGTGTTTTCCGGTTGATAGGTGAGATTTTGATATAGGGGTCGGAATGGAATTCCGAGATTTGCAGTAGTTTCATGGTGTCATTTGGGATGTGTGTGCAAAATTTCAGGTCATTCGGATGTGGTTTGGTTGGGTTTTTGATCAAAAGCGTAATTCGGAAGATTTTTGAAAACTTAGGCTTGAATTCGATGTGTTTTGGTTGATTCGATATTGTTTGAGGTGTTTTGAAGATTGGTATAAGTTTGAATAAGGTTATGGGATATGTTTGTGTTTTGGTTGAGGTCCCGGGGACCTCGGGGTGATTTCTGATTGTTGATGGAGAGTTTGGAGTTTTTGGTGAAGCTGCAGATTTTCTGCTTCTGTTGTTTCCGCACCTGCGGATTGGGGACCGCAGGTGCGATGCCGCAGATACGAAGAAGAAGGCCGTAGAAGCGGAAAGGGCCTGGGGAGGTTGGAGCTACAGAAGTGGTTGGGGAGCCGCACCTGCGATGGCACATGTGGGAAATGCATCGCAGATGCGGATATTGGTGACTTAAGTGAAAATCGCAGAAGCAGTTCGTTGACCGCAATTGTAGTACCGCAAAAGCGGGAATTTGGCCGCAGATGCGAAATCCCTGGGCCAGAACATATAAATTCATTCCTTCGCGATTTTTGAGCTATTCCACCATTTTTAAGTCGGTTTTTGAGCTTTTTGGGAGATTTGAAGGAGGATTTCAAGGGAACTTCATTGAGGTAAGGATTTTGGACCTAAAACGCGTTCCTATGGTATTATTTCATGGATTAGAGCTATAATTAATGGAATTTAAGGATCAAAGTTTGGAGAAATTAGAGCTTGGTATTGGAGACCTAGACTTGAGGGTTTGAGGGACCATTTGTGGTCGGATTTTGGTACTTTTTATATGTATGAACTCGTGGGGAGATAAGGAATCTATTGATGTAAATTTTATCGAATTCCAAGATGTGGGCCCGGGGGTCGGATTTTGGTAATTTCGGGATTTATGCTATAAATTGATTATTTTCGCTTGGACTCGTTCCCTTAGCATATTTTGACGTCGTGGTTCTGATTTGGGATAGATTCGACGCAAGTGGAGGCCGATTCGAGGGGTAAAGGCAATGCGGGCTAGAGTTTGGACCGGATTGAGGTGAGTAATGATTGTAAATGAGGTCCTGAGGGTATGAAACCCCGAATTGCACATCGTTGTGCTATATTGAGGTGACACACATGCTAGATAACGAGTGTGGGGTCATGCACTATTGGGGATTGTGACTTAGTCCATCCCGAATGATTGTTTTACCGCGTATTTGACTGAAAACTGTTTGCTATCATCATATTTTGGGCTGAATGCCATATTTGGGCCTCGTGCCAAATATTTGAACCCTTATGGGATTTTTACTGATATTTTCTCACTGTTTTGACTTTATACTTGAACCCATTCATGCTATATTCTACAGTTTTCATAACTCAACCATGTTTATTCTGTTTTAACACTTAAATGATATTTGGGTTGAGCATCATGTTTTACTGTTGCCCGAGTGGCTTGTGAGATTCTGACTGAGTAAGGTCGAAGGCCTATGTTGTGAGGAAACACTGATTGTGATTATGAGGCCGAGGGCTTGAGATTTTTACGCCACGAGGTGGCTTGTTGATATGAAGCCGAAAGCCTAGTGATGATGCCATGAGATGGCTTGATATTGCGCTTGGGCCGTAAGGGGCCCCTCCAGGAGTTTGCACACCCCCAGTTAGCGCGGGTGCCCAGTGTGATGTGAGATATAGCCCGAGGGGCTGGTGTTGTTCTATGATATTGCCCGAGGGCGATCCTTTATGTGTTTATCTTTCTTAGTTGCCTGTCATTTACCTACTTAATTGTTAAATAGGCATTTCATGAAGTTTAAACTGAACAAAAATTACATTACATATCTTC